GGCAGGTTGTATCTGTTTCATGTTTCTAAATAAACAGTTGGCAAAATGTGGCCTGGGGGCCGTATCCAGCCCACTCTGCTTTTATAAATACGGTTTTCTTGGCACACAGTCACACATTCATTTACATATTGTCCACGGCTACTTTCATGATACCACGAGAGTTGAATAGTTGTGACAGAGACTATATACCCCACAAAGCCCAAAATGTTTACTATCTGATCCTTTCCAGGAAACTTTGCCAGATTTGCTGTAAATTGTACTGTCAGAGAAAGGAATCAAAAATTGCTGCCTCTCAAAATGGTTCTCCACTGTTAAAAGTCAGGATGGTGGTGATCTTTAGGGACCAGTGATTGGAGGTTTTTGCAATAGATCCTTTTTTGGGGTGCTGTTTACCTGAGTGAAAATTCATCAAGCTTATGATAATATGCTTTCCTTGTATGTTTTGTCAATAAAAACAATCTCAAAACATTGCTATACACCAGGCGTCCCCAAACTATGGCCCGTGGGCCGCATGCAGCCCCCTGAGGCCATTTATCCGGCCCCCCGCCGCACTTCAGGAAGGGGCACCTCTTTCATTGGTGGTCAGTGAGAGGAGCACAGTATGTGGCGGCCCTCCAACAGTCTGAGGGACAGTGGACTGGCCCCCTGTGTAAAAAGTTTGGGGACGCCTGCTATACACCGTCAGACCCTAAACTTGAACTCCATTTCTCTTAGACATCAACGAATGCCAGTCTTCACCTTGTGCTTTTGGGGCAACCTGTGTGGATGAGATCAATGGCTACCGGTGTGTCTGTCCGCCAGGGCACAGTGGTGCCAAATGCCAGGAAGGTATGTGTGCCAGGCTCCAGCTATCCATGGGCCTTCTGGGGTGAGTGGGCTTTACAGTCACCATTTTGACTCTTCACAAATAAGCCACTGTGCTCAGGGAGGGAACACACAGTGGGGGCTGCAAGGAAAGGGAAACATGAAGAGTCTTTCCCAAAATGGGTAGCTGTTGTTTTTGGTCAGATGTTGCCACAATACTGTGTACCAAACCATCCCAAACTGCTGTGGCTTGCAGCAAGCATTATTACTTTTACTGCTCATGATATGCAGCATGGGCACAGATTGTGCTGTGCATTGGGTTCAGGTGGACCAGTGGCTGTGTCTGGGGTGTATCCTTTCATTGCAAATGGTAGGCATGCAAGAGGCTGGTCAGAGACTCCGCTCACATCACATCTGCCAGTGTTACATTGGCCAGAGCAGGTCATGTGGCCAAGCACAGCCGGCAAAGGCAGGAGGTACACATGCCTGTTACTGTGGGAAGAATGATCTTCACGTAGCAAAGGGCACACGTGTAACCATTTCATAGCAGGGACCAAAGAACTGAACCCTGATCCGGTTCACAGAAAAACAGACTGCTCATGAGTCTCCTCCTGTCAGTTTCAGGAAGACCTTGCATCACCATGGGGAGTGTGATACCAGATGGGGCCAAATGGGATGATGACTGTAACACCTGCCAGTGTCTGAATGGACGGATTGCCTGCTCAAAGGTAGGACATGATGGCTCCTGCAGTTCACCTGTGTTCCGCAATCAGGGGCGAGCATGCCTGCTAAGCTGCCAGATTCTGTTTTTCTCCAGGTCTGGTGTGGCCCTCGACCTTGCCTGCTCCACAAAGGGCACAGCGAGTGCCCCAGTGGGCAGAGCTGCATCCCCATCCTGGACGACCAGTGCTTCGTCCGCCCCTGCACTGGTGTGGGCGAGTGTCGGTCTTCCGGTCTCCAGCCGGTGAAGACGAAGTGCACCTCTGACTCCTATTACCAGGATAATTGTGCAAACATCACGTTCACCTTTAACAAGGAGATGATGTCACCAGTATGTAACACTTTTTTTTTTTTTTTAATTTGGAATGGTGGACGTCTGTTTGCTTTAAAGGAGGAATGTCATGAGCTAGATTCTACTTCTCCCTAGCATAAATTCCTATCTTATAGCAAAGGGAGCTTGAACTTAGTCCAAACTCAAAGAGAACATCTCAACCTCTTGTTTTTCTTCGCAATCTTACACGTGTGTGGATTTTTAAAAATCGTTTTAGGGTCTTACCACTGAGCACATTTGCAGTGAATTGAGGAATTTGAATATTTTGAAGAATGTTTCTGCTGAATATTCAATCTATATCGCTTGTGAGCCTTCTCCTTCTGCAAACAATGAAATACACGTGGCCATTGTAAGTATAAGACCCATTCATACCTCATTATTTGACTGCAAGACAGTTAACAAACTTTGGTTAACTCATGTCCAAATGGAGCAAATTCACTGACAAAAAAGCTTTACAGACACAGATTGTCAAGTAATTTTGAAGAAAGGCTGCTTTGGAATATTCCCCTGACTCTCAAGTCTGACCATTCTTTTTCTAGTCTGCTGAAGATATACGGGATGATGGAAACCCAGTCAAGGAAATCACCGACAAAATCATTGATCTTGTTAGTAAACGTGATGGAAACAGCTCATTGATTGCTGCCGTTGCAGAAGTAAGAGTTCAGAGGCAGCCTCAGAAGAACAGAACAGGTAGGTGCTGAGTGGGAAAGTGATGATCGTCAGATGATCTCATTACACTATTCAATAAAGCCATCAGGTCGGGGGGAATTACCTGGCAGTGCCCCGCTCTCACAGGAGCTCCCAATTTAATTGAGAACTGAGGCCAGCCTACCCTACTGAGGTCACATGGCCCATGGGAACAGAGGTCTGCTTCATATTTTCCTTCCCAACACGTTGTGCAGGCTTCTCTGCAGAACAGGTATTGTGCCTAGATCCATCACAAAGCTGTAGGACACTGCTTGTCCTTTGTCCTTGAGCTTGAGGCTATACAAAGCCTGACTTGACATTTTGGTATCCTGGGATGTTGCAGCCTCTGCTGAGCTTGATGGCCCTGCAGGATGTCCAGGCTTCCCTCCTGAGGATCTCGAGCACTGTTTCAGCCCAGAGAGATTGGGCATGGAGCCATGACATGTTTGAGCTGTCTGTGCTAATTTGAATCGGGTTTCTAGTTCTAAAAACCGATTCCTGTACTGAGCTGCCTCAGTAGGTAGACTTAACAAGACACTGCTCTCCCCATGTGAAGTCAAAGAGCCTCTGGGAGCTGCTGCTCCACCCAGTCTCTCCAGGGATAAAAGTATCAAGGTCTACAGGGGCCTGATCTCAGCATTTGCTTATCAAGCTGTGAAGTGACCACATGCAATGACGAAAAGGGACTTGTCCCCAAGGCTCCCGTCTTGGGGACAAAGGGCAGGAGAACCACCGTTGGTATTGTTTTGTTCCCATGATGATGCTTTTTTTCTTTCTTTCTTAGAGAGTTAATTGGTTTTGTGCCTGCCTTATAGATTTCCTGGTGCCCTTGCTGAGCTCTGTCTTAACCGTGGCTTGGATCTGTTGCTTGGCGACGGCCTTGTACTGGTGCCTGCGGAAGAGGCGGAAGCCAGGCAGCCACACACACTCAGCCTCTGAGGACAACACCACCAACAACGTGCGGGAGCAGCTGAACCAGATCAAAAACCCCATTGAGAAACATGGGGCCAACACGGTCCCCATCAAGGATTATGAGAACAAAAACTCCAAAATGTCTAAAATAAGGACACACAACTCTGAAGTCGAAGAGGACGACATGGATAAACACCAGCAGAAAGCCCGGTTTGCCAAGCAGCCAGCTTACACGCTGGTAGACAGAGAAGAGAAGCCCCCCAACAGCACGCCAACAAAACACCCAAACTGGACAAACAAACAGGACAACAGAGACTTGGAAAGTGCCCAGAGCTTAAACCGGATGGAGTACATCGTATAGCAGACAGCGGGTGCTGCTGCTGCTAGGTAGAGTCTGAGGGCTTGTAGTTCTTTAAACTGTCATGTCCTACTCGAGTCTGAGGCTGTTGTTGACTTAGAATCCCTGTGTTAATTTAAGTTTTGACAAGCTGGCTTACACTGGCAATGGTAGTTTCTGTGGTTGGCTGGGAAATTGAGTGCCGCATCTCACAGCTATGCAAAAATGAGTTGACAGTACCCTGGTTGTGTGTCCCCCTGCAGCAGACAGGTCTCTGATTGGGCTTTCAGGAGCCTGCTCAGCCCCCCCACCCCCGCTCTAGTCTTTGAGCTCCCACTTCTGCCAGATGTCCTAATGGTGATGCAGTCTTAGATCATAGTTTTATTTATATTTATTGACTCTTGAGTTGTTTTTGTATATTGGTTTTATGATGACGTACAAGTAGTTCTGTATTTGAAAGTGCCTTTGCAGCTCAGAACCACAGCAACGATCACAAATGACTTTATTATTTATTTTTTTTATTGTATTTTTGTTGTTGGGGGAGGGGGGACTTTGGTGTCAGCAGTTGCTGGTAAAATGAAGAATTTAAAGAAGAAAAAAAATGTGTCAAAAGTAGAACTTTGTATAGTTATGTAAATAATTCTTTTTTATTAATCACTGTGTATATTTGATTTATTAACTTAATAATCAAGAGCCTTAAAACATCATTCCTTTTTATTTATATGTATGTGTTTAGAATTGAAGGTTTTTGATAGCATTGTAAGCGTATGGCTTTATTTTTTTGAACTTTTCTCATTACTTGTTGCCTATAAGCCAAAATTAAGGTGTTTGAAAATAGTTTATTTTAAAATAGGATGGGCTTCTGTGCCTGGAATACTGATGGAATTTTTTTGTACGATGTCAGATGTTTAAAACACCTATATAGCATCACTTAAAACATGTTTTAAGGACTGACTGAGGCAGTTTGAGGATTAGTCTAGAACAGGTTTTTTGTTTTTTCAGCTTTAGACTTGAAAAGAGACAGGTGATCTGCTGCAGAGCAGTAAGGGAACAAGTTGAGCTATGACATAAATAGCCAAAATGTGAGTGGTTGAATATGATTAAAAAAATTGTGTGAAGTTGGAAGCACACCAATCTTATTTTGTAAATTCTGATTTCTTTTCACCATTCATATGTAATACTGAACCACTTGTAGATTTGATTTTTCTTATCTACTGCATTTAGGGAGTATTCTAATAAGCTAGTTGAATACTTGAACCATAAAATGTCCAGTAAGATCACTGTTTAGATTTGCCATAGAGTACACTGCCTGCCTTAAGTGAGGAAATCAAAGTGCTATTACCAAGCTCGAGATCAAAAAGGCTTATAAAACAGAGTAATCTTGTTGGTTCACCATTGAGACCGTGAAGATACTTTGTATTGTCCTATTAGTGTTATATGAACATAAAAATGCATCTTTGATGTGTTGTTCCTGGCAATAAATTTTGAAAAGTAATATTTATTAAATTTTTTTGTATGAAAACATGGAACAGTGTGGCCTCTTCTGAGCTTACATAGTTCTCCCCGGCCTTGCCGTGAGCTTCTGCCACCCCACTGAGTCTGTTCTGGTAATCGGGGTATAATAGGCTCCGCCTGCCACAAGCACAGAGGAAGAACTGAAAGGCTTTTCAACCACAAAACTCATCTGAAGTTCTCAATGACCTGGGGCTGCTGTGAAACTGAAGCTGTGGGAGCCTCATCTAGGGGAGCCTTGATTCCCTTGTTATTCAACAGCAAGTGTGAATACTGCTTGAATAAACACCACTGGATTAATGGCCTGTAGTGTAGAGGTAAATTGTGAGCAATCACGGGAACTGGCCACCGCACTGAAAGGGTTTTCAAGGGTTTGGAATTGGTGTTGGGAAATGAGCAGGGAGATTTAATGTCTGCTTTTTTTTTTCCTGGCTACTTAGATTCATATTAATGTTCTATTGTAAGGGTGTGGTCTGAAATGACTCTTGCGCACATTTACCTGTGGGGTGGTTTCCTCTCGGCACAGGAGGTGGTAGTTGCAAGCTCCTGGTGTTCCGGCTCATCTACTCATCACCTTGTTCCCAGGAATGAGTAGTTCTGGCCTCACCATGCAGCCTTTGAGTGCTGGTGTTCTGCTCCTCTGTGAGGTTCTAGAGTCAGGCTGTCCCCACCTGTAATGGGCAGGAGAGCTCTGGTTCTCTCACTTGTGGCTGCAGGAGGCCCTGCCCCTACTTGTGTGGTGGGCTGTGGGGGAAGCTTTGCCTCTGGCACCTCTGCAGAAGGATTGAGCTGTGGTAACCATTACATGGACAGCTTCCAGCAGCCGTGCAGAGTCAACAGGAGTTCCCTGCTTCTGGTTAGGAAAGCCAAAGCTTGCCTTTCTCTCACAGCTGTTCCCCAGCACTTCAACATTCAGGCCCATCCACCCATGTCTGGTTTTCATACAACTGGCACAGCAAACCTTGAATGGAGGAAAAGCTGATGGGGATGTTTTTCTTTACTCTTGGGGAAGCTTTTTTTTTCTTCTAGGCTTGGAGTTGTGTTCTCTAAGGAACATCTTGATTAAGAATGACTTTAAGTGCCCTTGGCTCCTTGTTCGTTAGCAGAGGCCATTGAGGGATTCAGGGCTGTGACAGCCCTAAGAGTGGCCAACACTGTTTTGGCTCGTTGGGGAGGTAGCCTGAAGGACCTGGACAGCGAAGAGTCTAGGTTTCCATGACATCTCCCTGCCCTAGAGTAGCTCTGCTTTGCCACTCATGTCTGCCAGTAGACAGCTGGTTTCTGCAAGGTGGGCTCAAAGGGAGGGAGAAGTGTAGACTCTACTAGCCAGGATACATTTTGCAGTACTGGAGTCAAACACAGTTCGGGAACAATACCTTGTCCTGGTGGTTTATAAACTTGGATTCTGCAGGACCCCAGAATTCCTTGGGTAGCTGCCAAATGCTGCTGTGCCAAGAAAAAAAAAAAAAAGTTGAACGAACCTTTGCAATTCTTTATACCAGGAGGGAAGGGATCTTGGGATTCATGGGTGTCATCTTATCTCACCTTCTGTCTGGGACAGCCTTGGTATTGGGAGGGCATAGATCAGGCTCTTCTGGACATGGCTCAGTGCTAGGACTTTAATTGTGAAGGGTGGCTTTTCCCCTTCCTTCAGAAAGAAGGAAGCAAGGAGGCAATGGTGCTCTGGTTATTGTGGGGTTAGGGAAGTAGAGAGGAAGGGACTCGGTGCCTTTACCATTCATTCATTCCTCATGAATGCTCTGGACCTCTTTTAAAGGGGCCCTGGAAGAAACAATTTTCAGTCCAGAAACTTGACTAACTAGAATTCTAGCATTAGAATATACCATGAAACTCCAGGAAAGAACACTTAAAGTTGGTGTTTTTAGGATGGGAAGCCCTGTCCTGAGATTCTAGACTTACATGATATAAAATTTGAGGGTAAAGATGTATCTTAATTGACTAAAAGCCAAAGGAGACTGATGAATTGCGAGAGGGTTTACAATTTTAAGATGCAGATTCCCAGGCCTGATCCACGACCCTATTAGATCAGACGCACCAGAAGTGGAGTCTGGGAATACGAATTTTTGACCAGCTCACTCTTCCTCCTCCACTGATGCACAGTAAAAATTGGGAGCAACTCTGCTAAAGTACTACAGTACCAGCTCTTTGTTAATTATAATGTTTTTCCTCCTTGTTAAACTGAATTAAATAGCCTGGAAGACAGTTTGTTGCTAAATTGCCACCTGACATCATTTTTAAGTAAAATAATTACACTGCCCCTTAAGCAAGTTGTGGTCTAAGTGCTTCATGCCTATTAGCTGATCTGAGGGGTCAGTGAGTCAAAATTAACTTATTTAGTAATATTTCTTAGGTAGCAAGGAGCCAAATGGGCCAGAGCGTGGGTTTCCCACCTTTCTAAATGGCTTACACCTGTCTGCTCCATAGTGAGCAAGTGTGCAGCAAAAAACCAGTTGCCTTTAAAGGGAAAAACATCTTCTATAAGCCTATCAGGCTTCGAAACTTGGGCTGAGCAATGCTCCACCATTTCCGTTTCAACTGCGGGTCTCTTTTTTGCCTCTACTGGGAATGAGAAACGGGAGTTCAGAGGTTCCTGGTCTGGGAAGATGTACAAGCACATGGGTTATGGGAAGCCTCCTCCTGCTAATGTGTATTTATACTTTGTAAGCTCTGATTCATCCAAGCATTGGAACAGAAATCTGCTTCCTGAGGTTCTGTTTTTAAATAGATAGTTTGCAAAAACAACAATTATTTTTCTTAACATTTTTTTTCCACCCCACAAGCAGCTAAACATCCTGGCTCAGGGTATGTCAGCAATGCCAACAAACAGCTTGGTTATCTGGGCTAGAAGGATGCCCTGAGGCAGTTCTCTACGGTTCTAGCCCCAGAAGTCTTAAAAAACAAAGTTTAAAAACCATTAAGGCAATCTTGTTGCATCACTTCAAATCCATGAGGTATTTCAGGGTCTATTAAAAATAACGAATTTCCGTTTGTGAGCCACTGCCTTCCAATGGCTGTTAAAACTAAGAGCAGGTTGCGGGGAGTGGTGCTTGTCGGGCTGTAGTGGTATCACTGCCTGGCAGCTGAGGAGCCTAAACCCCACATGGCACCCTCTGAGATCATGTCAAAAGGGTGTGGCTCTCTTGCTTTGGACGTATATTCTGCCTATATTACTTGCTCTTGCATGCTAGGCACAACCTTCCTGGCTTAGACTGCATTTCTTTCAAGTCCAAGGTGGCTTTTACGAGTCTCAAATTATGTATCATTATGCATGGGTCCAGTATTAACCTGTGATAGGTAAGTCAGGAAAATTAACCTGGAGAATAAAGGCTCTTAAATCCAGTAAGCACCTTGAATTGAGGTCTGCCTGCTACCTTCTCCAACCCACCCCCACTGCAAATATCCACACCAGGGCACCCAAGGGTTGAGTTATCCAGAAAGCAAATGCAGATGCCAGCAACATGAAAGTAACAGCTTTGTTTTAAAGAGAAGCAATCTTGGCAGGGCTGGCGGGGCTCATCAGTGATCCCAGAGGGAAATACATGTTTGCAGCTGGCTTCCTAATCACTACTCAGGCAACCAAACAGGCTGGCCCCTTCTGTTTGGCACCTGAAGAGTGAAAAGTTGCTTTATTTTATCCTTGCCGAGATATGTGCAGTTGAAATACCTTCAGCATAGACTCACAGGATGTTAATGCAATCAAGGGCCTTACCCATCAAAGGATCTAACGCCCATTACTTTCCCGGAAGAGTAAACTGAGGCCCAGAGAGGTTCAAAGACTTGTCCGAGGTTATACAGAGAGTTAGCAACAGCCAGAACTACAACTTGGGGCTCCTGCTTCCTGGGCTGCTGTGTTTTCCGTCTCTTCTGGGAATTTGCTAGGTTTATGTCCGGATCTTGCCCTTAGTGTGATTTTCAAAGGTGAAGCCTTGGGAGATCAGCACTTCACAAAAATGGACGAAAAGGCTCAAGGGAGGTCACAGGAAGTGGCTGCTAAGACAGTGTCATTAATCTGAGCTGGTTTTGCCTAGAAAGTGACATCTGTATAAATCCAGGAGCAATAGGTGTTTTCTGCATCAAAGGCAGATTAAGCCCTAGCTCCCTTGTAGGCTGTTCCTTTGTTCTTGGGACATTTCCAATTTCCCTTTTAGTTTTTGCTTCATAGAATTAAAATGAGTTGCAGGAAAAGAGGTTCAGAAAGGAAACAGACAGCCCCACTAGGTCCTACAGCTCCATGCAGTAGGACATTTTACAGGCATCTTCAGAACAGCACTGCTGCTCACTGGGTCTGAGATGCAGGTGCCAGGGTCCTGGCCAGTGTCAAGTGATTGCAATTATCATTAGGACTCATCCCTTGTTCTCTAGCCACTCCCACTCCCTCTGGCAGCTTCCTTCCAGGTTATCACCGCAAAAACACCTGAGCATTTAACAGGACTAAAATCCAGATCACTTGAATGTGATGAAGTTCACCACGTCCAGTGTGTGACTGGGCCAGTTCAGACACACCTGAGAGCTCCTGGAACTGCCTGTGGGCAGCTCTGCTTCCTCCATCTGACATCCCCAAAAGGCTACGCCTCCACACTCCTCCACCCAGCACTGACGGATTAGCAACATCTCCCACAAATCATCCTTAACCTGTTTGTCGTGTCAGGGTAGGCCAGAATTACATTCTATGTAGAAGTTTCCTCTGCGCCAGGCACCCATACCAAGTGACTTGGAAAAACCCCATCCCCAAGACAGAAACATAAAACCTCCAAGTTCAGGACCTGAACAATCAGATGCCCTCAGAGGACTCTCACTGGCTTTGCAGTGATGTTACTTTGGAAGTATTTTTGAAAGAACTTACAACATAAAGCAGAAAGGAAGAGCGCAAATGTGATACACCATAAAGATCTGCCAAAAAAAAAAAAAAAAAAAGCGAAGGAAAAAGTGCCTCTAGTACAGTAAAGGCAGTGGGAAAGAGCCGGGAGGGACCACAACCTCTGGCTTTCTCCACCTCTACGCCCCATCATTTCTGTGCTTCCTGAGCTCTCAGCCGGACAGTGTTGGCTGCAGTGGAGTTACAAAAGAGGTCCTGAACATCTCCTGCAAAGTGTCTGGCCTCCAGGTGGGCCTGTTACTAGACTTCACTAGACTGTTACTTTCACCTGCTTGGTGTGCAAAGCCAGGCTGTGTGCTTAGTGATCAAGAGGACGCATTCTGGACTGAGATGCCTTTGATTGCAATCGCAGCTCTTCCTCCCAGCTCCTGGTTTGGAATTTTCTACCTGTGTGTTCTAACAACACAGTTTCTGGGCTTTGGGGTTTGCTAGACCTGGATTCTAGGCACGGCCATTTACTAACTTGGCAAGAAACTTGGGTAAATTTCTAAAATTCATTGTGCCTCAGTTTCCTCATATGTCACACTGACAATAAATGTGTGCCACTGTAGTATTCATGAAAAGGACTACAGGAAAAGGAAAGAACACTGCTTTCAGTATTTGCTGTAAGCAACCATTAAAAGATTAAGGAATTCAGAAAGATTCCAACTGACAGTCTACTTTCTCACCATGACACCATTGAACTGGGCCTGTAAGAGAAGAGCTAAGTGCTGCTGGATCTGGTCATAGGCAGGACTCCATGATGGCTCCCAAAGGTCCCTGGCCCCTGGTTATTCAATCAAACACTAATCCTGGTACTGCTGTGAAGGGATTTTGCAGATGTCATTAAAGTCTCAAATCTGTTAGCCTTCAAATACAGATTATCCAGGTGGGGCTGACCTAATTACAGGAGCTTTTTAAAACCAGAGAGTTTTCTCTGGCTGGTCACAGAAGGAGAAGTCAAAGAGATTCAAAGCATGAAAGTGATTCAATGCCAAGATTTCTCCATTAATGAAATGGAAGGGGTCACATGGCAAAGACCTTCAAAATGGCTTCTAGGAAATCCCCTGCCAACAGCCAGTGGGACAATGTAGATCTTAGTCCTACAAATGCAAGGAACTGAATTTTGCCAACAAGGAAGCTTGGAAGCAGACCTTTCCCTGGGTGAGCATGCAGCTGAGGATGCAGCCTGGCCGACGCCCTGATTTCAGCCTAAGAGATCCTGAGCAGAGGACCCAGTTAAGAAGTGTCAAAAACTATGAGACAGTAAATTTATGTTGTCTTAAGCCTCTCAAATTAAGGTAATTTGTTACACAAGGATGGAAAACTAATATAAACCTCTCCTAAAAAGGATCGTAGGGCTGGGTGCGGTGACTCACACCTGTAATCCCAGCACTTTGGAAGACCGAGGTGGGTGGATCACGAGGTCAGAAGTTCGAGACCAGCCTGGCCAACATGGTGAAACCCCCGTCTCTACTAAAAATACAAAAATTAGCCAGGCGTGGTGGTGGGCGCCTGTAGTCCCAGCTACTCAGGAGGCTGAGGCAGGAGAAGGGCTTGAACCTGGGAG